CCGATGCTAGCTGAGGCAGCAAGGGGAGCGCCTTAATACTGAGGAGGTACGACAAAGGGGTTCTTTTTAACGGTAAACGTGCAAACTTATGTCTTCTGGGGATTGAACTGGACTAGATTTAGCCACCCTCAATCCGAGACTTTGTTCAGCAAAGAATCGACATCAGACACAAGTTTGTTCCGGTAGCGCCGTGGTAGCTCATATGGTTAGCGCTCGCTGTAAGTCTCACAGTACGCGAGAAACTCGGGTTTGATCCCCGCCGGCACCAATGAAATTGTTTGCAATTTTAAGTGCCGATTTACCACGTGCTCGGCGGTGAAGGAAAACATCGCGAGAAAACCTGCATGTCTGAGAAATAAAAAAAAATATATCTCGAAGACATGTGAAGTTCGCCAACAAGCATTGGGGCAGCACGGCGGACATTTACTTGCCCTAAAACCCTCTCAGAAATAAGAGGAGGCTTGTGCCCAGCAGTGGGACGTATAAAGGCTGCAACTCTACTTTAATTTACTTTTGTTCCGGTACTCGGAGACGTTTCCCGAGAAATATTGGCACGGCCGGTGTATATTGCATCACCAGTGCTGTCGTTGTTACCAGTTTGCAACATATCATTAAATATGCAGTAGAAACAGCGTTGGTGATAGCACGCAGCCTTGTGGAACACCAGCGTTAATAGGCTTATAATCAGAGCATGCACCATCTAATACGACCTTGATGCTCCGATCAGCAAGGAAACTGGTGATAGAATTGCACAATTTCTCGGGAAACCTATAGGAAGGGAGCTTCGAGAGAAGCGCTTTGTGCCAGACCCGATCGAAGGCCTTCTCTATGACCAAACTAACGGCTAATGCCTACCCCTTGGACTCTACTGCCTCCGCCCATCTATGAGTTAGATAGACCAGAAGATCACCAACTGATCAACCCCGATGAAAACTGTTTATAATGGATTCCATTATTTTTGAGAACAAGGAGGTGATGGCGATAGGCCTGTAGTTTGACGGGTCTGAGCAGTCGCCTTTTTTAGGGATCGGGTGAACCAAAGCTGTCTTCCATGATTTTGGGATAACGCCTTAGGAGTAGAAGTACCGGAAAAGACGCGTTAAAACAGGTGCCAACTTCGGAGCACACGTCTTCAGCACAATGGAAGGGACTCTATCAGGCCCACTCGACTCGTTGATGACCAGTGAGAGGAGTGCTTTGTGAACCGAGCACTGTGTAAGCCGTACATCTGGCATGGAGCACTCAAACCGCGGGATGGTCGGCGGTGTATTCCTCCGTCATCGAGAATCGAGTTGGACGCAAAAAGAGAGATTAACAGATCGGCTTTCTCTTTTGCGGCATGGGCCAGTGAGTCGTCCTCTCTGTGGAGAGATGGAAGAGATGGCTGACAGAAGTTCCCTTGGACAGCTTTAGCAAGAGACCAGAATGCACGGGTTACCGAAGGAAGGCGAACTAGCCTGTCACCAACTCCGCCAATGTGCTCTGACCTTGCCTTGGCAATGAATTTTGAAGAACCTGGAGACGGAATTATACTTCTTTTGAAGAGCGCTGGTGTTTACATCTCGATACATCAACGTCTCAGGATGTAAAGATGTCGTCAGCCCAGTGCTGGTAGCACTCTTGCTTATAGTGTAATGCTATTTTACATGAGCGACCCAACTATGGCTGGAATCTGCCTCCGATGGGCACCACAGAAGATGGAATAAAAAGTTCCATATCCTCAAGTACCATATCAGCGACAGAATCAGCAACATTGCTGTGATTGTCCAGCGAAAAGCAAATTCGCCCTCAAGGGTAGAATGCAAAAAAAGACCGCATCCTTTCCTATATCTATATTTATAATTATATCTATATTGCCAAACACGGCGGCTGCCTGCAGAATACAACCGCGAAGATAGTGTGAGTAACACCACCCTCCGGACAAGACGAGCCGTAAGGGGTGTCGACGGAAACCTGATATCCGTCCGGATAAGAGATCAGCAGAAGTTCCAACAGGGAAGGCGCATGATCCTCCACTTCTGGAATCCGCGTAGGCAAAGTAACCAGCTGTGCAACCAAAGTCTGCAAGTTTTTTTTGTGTGTGCAAGTGTGTTTTGTTTAAGTGTTTGCAAGGCAAAGTCATAAACAAATTTCCCCACATGATCGGTTAAATGTGAACCGAGCCATTCGGCGTGATGGTCGTTAAAATCACCAAGGATCACGATCTGCGCGGATACCCCCCCCCCCCCCGTATACCAGAATACGCGGGACTGCTTGAGCACACATGCTCAGGAACAGTAGGGTAGCTTGGGCGTGGGTGCTCAGCGAAGGATTCTCCGTCACCAGGATTCTGGTACCCTCCTGGGATAGTTTTTTATTTGATTCCGCTACCATACTTTAAGGGGGGGGGGGGGATTGGGCCTCAGACCACCTACACTTACCAAGCGAAACGCAGAAGTAAACTTCTTCTTCACGCTGGTATTCTGTGAGGTCGTGGTACTACCCTGGTTCGAGCTGGCTCATCCATGCGATATCAAAAGCTGCCGCGTGGCTCTACCACTGTTAAAACGTCAACATGGAATAAATTCTATTTACTTTTTTCTGCCCATCATAAATAAACAACCGATACACAAGAATAAATTATTTTCTTCATTATGAGACAATTAACGAATAAAGCAAACACAATAACTGCCTTTCTTTCTTCAAAACTTCTCTAACACTTTTAACACGTTTTTCGTAAACGCCAAACTCCCACTACACACCCTGATCGCGACTAAAACAACGTATCGCTTAAAGGCAGATAATTGATGTATGCCCGCATGCGGCGATGCCGCATAAGCACCTCGCAACGTGAATCTACCTGTCCTATTCATAACTGCCTTTACGTTTTACGGAATTAACCGGTTAATTTGGGTGTCAAAACCGTTAAGTAACCGGTAACCTTTATCGTTTAGGTTTAATAAAAACCGGTTAATTTTTTAACCGGTAATTGAAGGAGCGATAAATTTACCGGTAATTAACCTAAATTAACCGCTCTTTTTAAACCGGTTCCGAGCCCTGGGCAGAACAACCATTTTAACCAAAATTAAACAATAACACAAACGCATTGTTTTTTTTTTTATAACAGGAGACTTATTTTCCCGAAATTTATTTACAACTTGAGTTTGTGAGCGATCGCAATGAGTGCTATTTTTTGTTACTTAGACTACTTTTTCCACAACATGATTTAAAACCCACAAAGTAAAAAGAGTACCATGTACAAGTTAAAAAAAGGTTGTCAACCCCTAAAAATTTCAAAATATCCAAAATAATTAATATTTTGTTCGGGATAAATCTTCCAAAAACGCAATTTGAGCGAGTTATAACGATTTGTTAAAAGACAAGACTCGCGTGTCATACGCCACACACAAAAACAATCGATGGCACGCCTGGCATGCCATCCGCACTGAACCGGTTAGATATTTTTAAACTCAATAAAAACACGCTATACACTGAAAACTGATTGTTTATAAATATTTTTTAAATGATGTATTACTTTTTTCATAAGAGACAAAAGGTCACTAATACTGACTGTAGCTACAATTAAAATTCAAGGTCCTCGCATTATTAAACACAAGTAGTTTAAGAGACCTTAATCTATACAAGTAAATAAAATCGAAGTGACCGTTTGTAATGTTAAAATAACATCTTTTTACTAAATACATATGAAAGTATTACGGTACTTATAACAAAAACACAATTTAAAAAAAAATTGTTTGTCTGTTCTGACTAATCTCCAAAATGGCTGGACCGATTTTGACGGGACTTTCACTGGCAGATAGCTGATGTTAGGAGGAGTAACTTAGGCTACTCTTATTTTAGAAAAATAATTAGGTTTCCGTGCAAAAAAAAATAAAAACCCATGAAATGCAATGGTAATAAATTATTACACGCGGGCAAAGTCGCGGGGAACAACTAGTTTAAAATAATAATGTTTGTCATGATGTTTAATAAAACTTAATTGACCTAAATTAGTTTGCATCATAGTCTATAACATCGCTATTATATTCCTATTATAGTAATTATAGAAGGCAACAATTACTGTCATATTGATTTTTGCTAAATTCATGCAAGTTCATAGAGATTCTATTTTGAACAAGTGGTAAAATTAAAAATTTTGTAGAACTGACTTCAATATAAATAAAATGAGAACATCATCTATGTAGTCGAAGTCAATTAAATACGTATGATTAAGGATAACTCAAAAACTACTGATTAGATCTTGATGAAATTTATATGGGACGGCATGAGAAGCACCAGCTTAAATAAAGAATCATCAAAATCGGTTCGTCTAATAGAAAGTTCTGGGGTAACAACACATAAAAAATACTGTCGAACTGAGAACCTCCTCCTTTTTTGTAGTCGGTTGAAAAAGGAAGTATGAAAAACACTCAGTCAACCTGATAGTAAGTGGATACTAAATAGCCTATACATTTTTATCCTCGATATACACACCTATATTTATTTAATTAAGATTCAAAATGCAGAAGCACTGCTGACGACTATGGTGGAATACCTTGTTATCAGTAAAACGGGTTCTATATAGCTCTCCTCATTCAGAATACAAAACACAGCATTATGCTGCTATTTTACGCTGGTATTCTGTGCAAATTTGGACCTTTCCCATTCAAGCTGACCTACTTATATAACGCAACACAGCATGGCTCTACCATGTACAAACTTAGACTGATGATGAATGACTCATAATTTAGTACCTAAAAGGTTATTAATATTTTAGTACAAGTATCAAAACTTGCTTTTAGTCTTATAATATAGAAAAGATGCATAGCACCAAGTGTCAAAGTCATTGACAAAAGCTCCCTTCTCCGTTATTAAGGTACACTGTCTTTTAACTAGACTGTTAAATAGTTCTAAATTATTTTGAGATTTAAAATTTGATCCTGCCATTTGGTGAAATTTATACTATGGGTGTATTATGTCTATTGGGAAATAAAGATTAGATAAAATAAAATAATTCCTACCTTTCCATCCCAAACGCCCATTGCCTCTGCCTTTTCATGCAAACCCTCTGAATGCTTGTCGATTTTAGTCCTTATTGTCAAACCATTAGAAATGTTTCTATAGCCTGAGGTAATTTTTTCAGCAGCCCATAGTTTTCCACTTGTCTCCAGCACCCAAGCTTCCTTACAATCAGCTATTAGGAAAGAATTGTGATAAAAGTGGCTATCATCAAACTCTGAACAAGGTCCACCTTGGCCATACTTCTCTAGAAGGGTTGTTACGATTTCTAATGCTTCTTCGGCAGAATTTCCTCTTTCTAGACCCAATCTAAAAATTATGAAATATTATTAATACATTTAAAAATGAGGGATGCAAGTGACTAAATGGCATTTAGCTTGCTATAATATAATATATTTTTCTTGAACTGTCTAAATATAAGTATGTACAATGTACATTAGGACTTATCACTATGTCAGAAAACAACGGGCTACATTATATGAGTAATAGTATGAAGCAGATACGTTATTATACCTAATAATGTATCTGTTTCTTACTATTACTATAATCAAGCTCTGTGAAACTAGGTTGACCTGTGTAACAGGATTCCTGATTGTATGACAGCTCCATAGCACAGTGTTTCTTTTTATAGAATTAGGGTGACAAACAAGCGCACAGTCCACCTGATGGTAAGTAGTTGCTGTGGCCCATATACATCTACATCTATCCTCGATTACGATTCAAAATGCAGATGCGTTGTCACCCATTAGGACTAAGATGGAATGCCTCATTTCCAGTAAAAAGGGGTCTCCGGTTCTCTACACTCACCATACGAAACACAGCAGCATTAAGCTGCTATTTGACGCTGGTATTCTGTGAGAGCGTGGTCCTACCCTGGTCGAGCCGACCCATTCGTGCTACAACTATACTATTAATATAGATGCAGCATGGCTCTACCACGTATGAGCGAGCTACAAATGGCGGGTATAATTAAGGCGAGGAATTTGTCTGTGTGGCCTACAATTATTGTTCCAGATCTCGATGTGTGTACGTGTGCAAACAATTACCACCTCCACGATACAGGAGAAAATTCTATTTTTTCCTGTATCGTGGAGCTGGTAATTCTGATTTTACGTAGAATGAACAGATCCTTCATATTGTAATAAAACTATGAACATACTGGTACATTTATAAGTAAATAAAAAAAGAGATAACTGCCATAGTTCACCAATAATGTTCAGTGCATGATGCAGATTCATGACAACGCTCATAATAAGTATCAACAAACAAAAGCTGAAAGTGATAAAGCTCATTACAAATCTCTAAAAAGACTATGCCTTAATACTGAAAAGTGATTATAATAACTAATTTAACTGAAACACTGCAAGCATTATTTTGACTAACATATTAATCATGACGTACATAAAGCAAACATTTTGTGAAAGACCTAAAATTGTTTGCTTTACCTTCATTTAAAAATTATACCAATTTACAGACTATTTTAATGATACTGATAAAATTAACCACCACTTTCTTAAATATTCCAGAGATGAGCAATACTGGTTCATATCTTTCTACATATTTTAAAAATTCAAAATATAGCACCAGCACATTACAGCCAATACCATTTCATGAAAGCATAGTTACAAAAATTATTATCAGTATTAAGTCAAATGCACAAGGGGTTGATCAAATTAGTATGGAAATGATACTTTTGACACTGCCACAAACATTAAAGTCATTTGATTCAATTAATACAGATTTGTGAATAGACTTATTACAGCTGTGATAACAGGCCACTGATGTGGTTTAAAAGTTAAAAGTAATCTTAACACTTTTACTGTCCGATTTTCAAACACAATAGTAAAACAATTTTACTTCGAGGTAGAGCCATGCTGCAGCTATATTGTGGTTGCAGGACGAATGGGTCGGCTCGACCGAGGTAGGACCACACTCTCACAGAATACCAGCGTAAAATAGCAGCTTAATGCTGCTGTGTTTCGTATGGTGAATGTAGAGAACTGGAGACCCTTTTTACTGGAAACGAGGCATTCCATCTTAGTCCTCAGGGGCATCCCATCTCCATTTTGATTCTTAATTGAGGATAAATGTAGATGTTTATGGGCCACAGCATCCACTTACCATCAGGTGGACTATGTGCTTGCTTGTCACCTTTATCTTAAAAAAATGGCCAATATGCAGTGCATAGGACAGCGAAAGGGTTAATAATCGTCAACAACAAATTATAATTAACAGGAATGATGGCGAAAACTATGCTACCCAACTTCTTCCTGTCGATAAAGGTGTTCCTCAGGGATTTCTTGAAAACTGTAAATACCTGCTTTATGATTATGACCTACAGGTGTATATTAATGTAGTTCCTAAAACTGTTAATACATCGGTAGCTAATTTAAATGAGGATATTCAATACATCAATTGTCGTTCTTGGCTACGAAATAACTTCATACTCCTTATGCTCCTTATCATTCTACAAAATAGAAGTTTATAATTATATGTACTAAAAAGCAGGCATAGGACTGACTGATCCTAACAGACATATTGATGGGGAAAAAATTAACGAGTTTTTGAAGTACGAAATCATGGTGTTCTCAAGGACAATTTGATTTAAAAAATTGGGCCATTTATCACTGTGAACTTACCCGTTAAACTCTACCAAACGTTTTGTCTAAACTAAATTATTCTACAACTTTGTCTATTTAAAAATCAATTAATTTAATTTAAAGTTATACTATAGTTGATTAAGTACACTCGTGCTGATGAATAACACATTGTAGATTTTCTGCAACACATGCTGAGTTAGAGACCTTTCATTGTCCCTCTTTTAGATTAATATTTTTGTATTAGTTAAAATTTGTATACACCTCGCTAGTTTTGGTCAATGAGTAAATGTTTTATACAAATTATTATTTTACAAAGTAGATAAATGGCAAAAATCACATGAAGAATTCTATCTAGTTGAAATTATGGCAAACAACTGATAATGGCAAAGTTAAAAGTCAGGTTTCCAGACCTTTACACTTACTATATAAAACACAGCAGCATTAAGCTGCTATTTTACGCTAGCAATCTGTAATAGTGTGGTACTTCCATGGTCAAGCCGACCAATTCATGCTAAAACCATAATTTAGCTGCAGCATGGCTCTAACACATGGGTTCCCAAACTTTTAAGGTAATGGAACACTCACCAAAACCCTTTTCTATTATGGATCCCTACATGAAATGATTACATATGGAGACAATGCAATAGAAATATTAGAATTATTGCTGACTACCTTATATATATATATATATATATATATATATATATATATATATATATATATATATATATATATATATATATATATATATATATATAAAACAGTAATGGGTTCTTCTATTTTTCTCATCACATATTTTTTGCAAATTCAAAATAATATTTGTAATTTTTTCAATGACTTCCTGATTAGTGATTATTGCTATACATATTATATTGTGTGTACTACCAATTTGAAATTTCCCATAATTGTGGAATTTGTTTGCCAATTTTTCATATTTTTCTAGACTATATCAATTTTTTTAGTATACTACCCCACAGAACCCTCTATGGTGAAGTCGGAGAGTTTTCTACAATGAAATTACACCTCATAAATATAAACATATATAATATTTGAGTTGGAACAGTGATTATAAAAGTAAAATTAGCCCCAAAACAATAAAGCTTCAAACCAAGTAAATTCATATCATCTACCTAGCATTTGTTTAAAAGGAATTAAAGAAAAAGTTTCTATGTGAACAAAGTTACATGCACAGCTGGTTAAAAATAAAATTAGAAAATTTTAAATTGACTCATGCCAATTAAAGAAATCAATAATCACCTCACTAAATCCATACCCAACAATCTCTTTTGCCTGGCATCCGATTCTCCTTCATTATTATTTGTCCACACAGCCTCATTGCCAATAACAACATTCTTGTCATTGGCACCCATCTCTGCGCCCCACATCCATGCCGGCTTACTAAGTATCACACTGTTGATTGGATCGGAACTTTCATCAATAGTTACATAAGTGCACTGAAATATTATATTTTATAAGCTTTAAAATTATTTCACTACAGCTCCTTCTATTTTCATTCCAGATAAATATTGTATAACATAAATTAAGTTTTGCTTAAATTACATTATGTGGTAGAGCCATGCTGCAGCTATATTAGTAGTATAGTTGTAGCACGAATGGGTAGGCTGGACCAGGGAAAGACCATGCTCTCACAGAATACCAGCGTAAAATAGCAGCTTAATGCTGCTGTGTTTAGTGAGTGTAGAGTACCGAAGACCCTTTTTACTGGAAAAGAGGCATTCCATGTTAGTCCTCACTGGTGACAATGCATCTGCATTTTGACTCTTTATTGAGGACAGATGTAGATGTATATGGGCCACAGCAACCACTTACCATCAGGTAGACTGTGTGCTCGTTTGTTACCCTAAACCATAAAAAATATACATTAATGAGCTAACAACTTTAAAAGGCAAAAGGTTCACTTTTCTTTCCCTTGGAATTAAATACCCTTTTCAAGAGAAGTTAACAACTATATACAGTACCAGAGTAGTGGCAACAGGCTTGTTATAAAGCTTGAGAAACTGACAATCAATGAGGAAAAAAGGTTGTAAAGTGGCAATCTCCATCTAATACGACATGCAGGAAATTAATGGAAAAGGTAGTTCTTTGTGGGGTTACTTGAGGGAAACATATGTCCGTCATCATTAATCTGTAAAAGTTTACAGCTGAACATTGTTATAAGGATTGTGTTTGCCTTAATCGTCACACGTGATAGGCTCATTGGTGATCACACTATCAGACGCCTTTGATACTGCTTCTCATCACCGATCGGTCATAAACGGGAGGATCTGTCGGAAGCATTAGGTCTTTCAGGCTTTCCCCCATAGTCACCTGTTACTACATATAAAGGATGTAATATGGGTGTAATAAAGGGGTAATGGAATATTATTGTTTTTTTTTATTGGTATTTACCTTTAATTTAGAATCCCGAGCTCTGTTTTTCACATAGACGACTTCTTGAACTTCATTCTGAGGCCTGTCGGAATTTTTTCCAAAGATAACTTCATTATTTTTCGTCAGTGGAGGAAGAACAACGAAGGTGTCGCAAGATCTCGGGAACGACATTATGAAACAAGTAAAAGCGAAAGTTTTGAGACTGACTATTCTGACCTCGTTTAACCTTGACCTTTCCTAACTTAAATTTAATAAATTTCTTAATTTGGTTTGGATACAAATTTTGAAGAAGGAGGAAAACTAATTTAAATTTAATCAAGTAATAGAGATGATTCAACTCGATTCTCGATTTAACAAACCGGTACACGTTACGCAGTTTTAGTTTAAACCGACGAGATTAAACTTCCAAAACGAGTTGTAATTTTACCAACTCGAGTTACGAGGTTACGATTGCGTTGATTTTGTTCGCAATAGTATTATTCTATGGGCAAATTTAAATCGATTACTCGAAGTTGACAAGATCGCACGATACCGCCGCCCATTCGACCCGGTGTTTGTCACACGGTTCTAGATTCCACTTCCAGTAATACCATTAATTTAACAGCATTTCTTATAAACTATAAAAGATTTTAAAAAAAGTTTCAAACAATACATTTTTTACAGTTCCTTACACTTTATCTTCTACTTCTTAGTTTTCATGTATAATCGATTTTTAATATTTTTTTACATCAACACTACAGCGAAATTAGGAGTAATAAAAGATTTTTTAGGCTAAAGCTTATTACATCATTGACATCATTAAATACTTATGTTTGTATACAAGCTATAACACCCTATTTAACCTCCTCAGGGGTTGAATTTTCTAAAATTCTTTATAAATGAGAAATTGATAAAAGAATATAATGTCAAATTTAAAGTTATATGTGTTTATAGGTTTGGAGATCTCGTGGTAAATGACAGTCAGTAAAAAGTATTTTTTTTCTAACGCCGTTCAAAACTCGTTTGCCCGCTTAGAATATTTGCCCATGCATCTAACTTTATATTACCCATTTTTATATTTTGATTTATTCTTAAATAATGAATGCTATGAATATGAACTACCAATAACTTATTTAGTCTTGGGTCAGTCTAGAGTCTAGTTTATTTAAAGTGGACAAGCGATGTTAATGATCCGCGATTGTTTTACCGATTTTAAAAAAATCGATTATCTGCATTACTGCGATTTAATAGATGTCAATTGCTTTTTTTTTAAGGACTGTACGATTAATCGGCTAATAGTATTTTCGCCATCGTCAGTGAAATATTGAAAAATTTCTTCACTTAATGTGTGCCCAAATGAATAGTCCTGTTAAAACGTAGTGTAACTACAATAAATAATACTCTTCAAAAAAATCATCAAAACCCTCTTTACAATTTTAGAGAAGTTACAATTAACCCTTGAAATAAATCCATTAGGAATTGTGATAAGAATAAAAAACTCTATGTAGACATAGAAAATAAATCCATTTTAAAAAGTGGGATGCGGGAAGTAAAGACTGTGTAAGAACCTCAAAAGGAGGCGGAGTTATAGCCGAAATAAGAATTTTAATTTTTTTGACCCCCTAGGAGTGTAATGAGTACTTTTTGGCCCTGTTCAACTATGAATTCCGTGACATCTTCTGCATGATAGGATATTCAAACTGACTACGCCCAAAGTCCGAGCCACCTCTCAACTCATTTCTCATCTTTACTTCCAATTAATTCCAGAGTTATTCCAGTTACTAAAAAAAACAACATTTAAAAAGGAATACTTTTTGAAAATATTGGTCAAATTACCAATTAACTAATGTAATTTTAATTTGGACTCATATCTTTAAAACAAAATACTTACTCCTATTTTTCTGACTTCAGGTCTCAGGGCAATAATATTTTAGTTATTGTTCTCAGGTTCAGGAACTTCAAAGATAGATCTAGATCGGTAGAGATGCATTCTTTATAAAATGTATTGCCATAATAATGTCTTTTTATCGCAATTTTCACTCATTTGCCGTGTAGTGGCGGTTAAAAATATCCACTACCCCATATCTTCCTGTGGGTGTCGTAAAAGGCGACAAAGGGAAACAGGCAGGAGATGGGCAGCAGCGTCTTCCTGATAACAACAAACTTACAATAAAAAATAAAAACAACTGCGGTTGCCAACCCGCTCGCCAAGCATGGCAACTATGGCAAATACCCCCCTATGAATGACAGTAACAAAGAAACGGCCCCCAGTCCCCAGCGGCCCTGCTATTGCTCCGCTACCGTGGCGACCATGGTAACGGCGGGGCAGGGGGTGCTAAGAATCTCCGGTGGAGGTTCGGTTGCCACCTAAGACGACTCGACGTGGCTACATTCAACGCACGCACCCTGAGGACTGACGAGAAGATCGTGGAGCTGGAAGAAGAGATAGACAAGTTACGCTGGCATATTATAGGATTATCCGAAGTCCGAAGAGAAGGGGAGGACACGGTAATCCTCGAATCTGGCAACTTGTTCTATCACCGGGAGGGCGACCATCTGTCCCAAGGAGGTGTCGGATTTATCGTCCACAAGTCTCTCGTTAACAATGTTGTAAAGATTGAGAGTGTGTCGACGAGGGTTGCGTACCTTATACTCAGAATCACCAAACGGTATTCGCTGAAGGTCATACAGGTTTACGCACCAACCTCGGCACACCCCCATGAGGAGGTGGAGGAAATGTATGAGAATATCTCTAGAGCCATGCATTCCTCCAAAACCCAATACACGGTGTTAATGGGAGACTTCAATGCAAAACTAGGCACAAGAGAGAATGGTGAGCTGAAAGTAGGGAAATTTGGAATAGGGCCACGTAACCCAAGGGGCCAGCAGCTGGCCGACTTCATGGAGAAAGAGGGACTCTTTATGATGAACTCTTTCTTCCAGAAGCGGCCCCACAGGAAGTGGACCTGGTCGAGCCCCGACGGTTCCACAAAAAATGAGATTGACTTCATTATGACGACCAGACGACAACTGTTCAGTGATGTCTCCGTGATCGCGAGGGTAAAAACTGGTAGCGATCACCGAATGGTTAGAGCCACACTGAACCTAAACGTTAAGTTGGAGAGGTCTCGTCTGATGAAGTCAACGCTCCGTCCCCCTCGTGTTCTGTTCCAAAGTTCCGAAACCTTTCAGCTCGAGTTAAAAAACCGTTTTCAGTGCCTAGAAGACTACAATGAAGTGGACGATATGAATGATAAGCTCGTGGAAACTCTCCATGCGGTCGGAGCTAAGTTCTGCAAGACCTGCCGCAGAAGAACACAAAACCTCTTCGATCACACTCTCAATCTCATGGCTGTTAGACGGGAGATGAATCTACATTCTTCAACAGATTTGACAGCATACAGGCAACTGAACAGACAGATCTCCAAATGCATGCGGCGTGACTTACGCAACTTCAATACAGCTCGTATTGAAGAAGCGATCGAGCGGAACCAAGGCTCCAAAGTCTTTGCCAGAGATCTGTCTGCCAGATAGAGCCAACTGTCAAAGCTGAAGACCGAGTGTGGCAGCATCGTTTCCGGGGCACCTGAGATTTTGAGTGAGATTACACGTCATCGTTGGAGCCACACGCAAGTGTGAGTATCGATCCAAGAGCGAGTCTTATCCGACACTATTCTGAAGATATCCCGGACGTCAGTCTGAGCGAGATTAGAATGGCTCTCCAGCACCTTAAAAACGGCAAGGCCCCAGGCGAGGATGGAATTACAGCGGAGCTTCCGAAAGTGGTTGGAAGACCGGTACTTGAAGTCCTTCAGAAGCTCTTTAATTCCGTCCTACATGGTGGCATTACACCGGAGGCGTAGAGCAGAAGTGCGGTGGTCTTGTTCTTCAAGAAAGGTGACAACGCTCTTTTGAAGAACTACAGACCGATTTCCCTTCTGAGCCGCGTCTACGTGCTGTTTTCGAGAGTCATTACAAATCGTCTCGCGCGCAGACTTGACGAATTCCAGCCTCCCGAAGAAGCCGGTTTCTGAAAGGGCTTTAGCACCATAGACCACATACATACCCTTCGGCAAATTGTACAGAAGTCCGAAGAGTACAATTTGCCACTATGTCTGGCGTATGTGGACTATGAGAAAGCCTTTGATTCCGTCGAAATTTAGGCGGTGCTGCAGTCCCTTCAGCGGTGCCAAGTTGACTGTCGGTATATCAAAGTGCTACGTATATCCCCGAAACTCTTCACCGCTGCATTGGAAGACGTTTTCAAGCTTCTGGACTGGAAAGGATACGGTATTAACATCAATGTCGAGTACATCACTCACCTTCGATTTCCCGACGATATAATCCTTATGGCAGAATCGCTGGAGGACCTCGTACCATGCTCAATAACCTCAATAGTGTCTCCCAAAGAATAGGTCTTAGGATGAACATGGACAAAACAAAGATCATGTTTAATGTCCATGTCGGTGGTTGTTGGGAGCACTAATCTCGAAGTTGTTGACGAGTATGTTTACCTGGGACAAATAGTCCGACTAGGTAAGTCCAACTTCGACCGAGAGATCAATCGACGGATTCAACTCGGCTGGCCAGCGTTCGGGAAACTAGGACACATCTTCTCGTCAGACATACCTCAAAAACTTAAAACGAAATAGCCCAACGGATTAGTAAGCTGAAGTGACAGTGGACCGGCCATATAGCTCGAAGAACCGACAACCGATGGGAAAGAAAGGTTCTTGAGTGGCAGCCTCGTACCGGTAGGCGAAGGGTAGGGCGACCCCCCACGAGATTGAGTGACGACCTGGTAAGACATGCAGGAAGTCGATGGATGCAGGTGGCTCAGGACCGTGCTTTGTGGCATTCCTTGGGGGAGGCCTATGTTCGGCAGTGGACTTATGAAAGGCTGTAATGATGATGATGAATGATTTCACACATTTTGTTACCTACAAGCATAGCATTAATAACTCAATTTTTTATATAATTACGATGACAATATGAAAAAACGTTTTTTTTTCTGTGTAAATAAGTGCCTTTTAAAATGATAAAAATATTGCCTCTTGAATTAGGCTATTCAAATCAAAATTAAAATACAGTAGAACCTCGATAATTCGCCATTCGTTAATTTGAATCTCTCGATAATTTGAATTTTTTTCCCGGTCCCTTGAAAAATACTTGATAATTTGAATAAAATCGAT